CTAATTGTTTAACAATAGCGTTTTAATAGTTAGTATAAATTAGGCTATTTTTTTGGGGGGGGGGAGCTGCGTTTTCATGTAAAAAATAATTTTGTTTTAATAAACACAGTAAAATCTCAGTGGTTTTGTAGTCATTTCATGTACCAATGGGAAACATGCCAATATCCAATTTATTTTATGATGTGAATATTTGCAAAGGACGGGTTTGGCCCCGAGAGGCGAGTAAAATATCGGTTTTACTCACCTCATGTCTGTGGAGTCATCCATTTGATTAAATCTATCGAAACGGAAAGCCATCGGAACGAAAGGGGTAAATGGATCCCGTTCGAAACTTGCTAATAACAATTGCTACATCAGCATCAGCAACCAGCCCGGGCACAATCGCAAACTACTAACGACTAGCAGTTAATCACTTCGGCCAAGCTTCAAGCGGCTTAATCCGATGACAAAACAAAACAAAGCCCCGGCTAGAAATATAAGATTAACGGTCCCCACTTTAGGCTCGTCGCACGAAATTATTCACCCGAGGATAAAGACGTTGGCTTTTTTTTTTAAAGGGCTGTTGAATTGCAGACGCGTTACAGTTCTCAAGGGAATGCACCCATGCTCATCTCCTTATTCTTCGGCCGAGTGTGGGAAACTTAACGATATTACAATCATCTACCCTACTGTAAAGTTAGAATTCGTTGCTTTTCCGTCCTTGAGAAAAAATTGGACAATTTTGTCGAATTTCGTACTAAGGTTTGATTGAAAACATTAAAAAATACACGCTATTTTACACCAGCAGTCAATATTAAAAATTTATTATTTTCCAACTTGAATTGTGCAAAGTAACTACAATACTTTCCTTCTCTTCTTTCAATTATTCATGTTTGTATATTATCTTGTGTAGGGTAGAAAAATACTGGAATTTCTCTCGTTCATTTCTCGCTTTTCAATAATTTATCACCTTTTAATATAATTAAAACCTTCAGTTGTAAAAATTAAACGTTACAAAAAAAGAATAAACTCTACAAATAAGTTCATTGGGTATTAAACAATTTCAGACATATGGAAATATTAAAATTTGTCGGATGTAAAAGTGGTCTCTTGTAGTGCGGCATAGAACAATCGCAAATGACAAATATAATCAAATACTTTCATTATACGGCAGAGCGGTGATGGGAGCAAAATTTCACCGCCTAGAAGGAATGTACATATTAGCGTGAGTGTTTGGCTTCTGGAGTAATATTGAGTACCCCACAATTTCACTAAATTAGTTTATTTTTAGGTTAATTGTATTTAGAGTGAAAGGCCTAATATCAAATACTCATTGTCTCCCCAAATTTTATCTATGCATATTGTATGAAAGTATTTATTAGATTGAACATTTTGTACCTGTTGTGGGTCTGTGGAAGTAACCCACGGATCTACCAACCTCGGTTAGTTATTTTATTGCCCTGAATTGGGTGGAATATAGAGTACCCCACAGTCCCACCGAATTAGTCTGGTTTTTATTTTATCTGTATTTATTGTATGAATGTATTTATTACCGTGATCGGTGAGTGAACGTGTTCGTTGCGGAATGTAGAGTACCCTCAAACTCACTAAATTAGACTAGTTTTTAGGGTAGTTTAGAAATCAAAAGGGAGAGGCACTGGCGAAATATTAAATACCGCAGACTCCCCAAATTGTATCTTTACATATTGTGAAAATGTATTTATTAGCGTGATCAGTGCGTGAGTGGGTGTTGCGGAATTTAGAGTACTTTCAAACTTATCAAATTAATCTAATTTTTAGGCTAATTTTATTGTGTACAGATTTATGTGTTCTGTTTGGGTGCGTGTATTTATTAGTGTGAGTGTCGAGGGGTGATGGTAAAATGTAGCGTCACTATGGCCCCTCCAGCTATGTTTGTGTGTGTTTAGGGACGATGGAATATTTATAAAAGTACCTTATCGACCCTAATTTAGAAAAGGCCATTAATACTATGTGTATGCCGATGGAGGAATATCGAGTATTCCATCGACTAATCAGAATAAGTGCAATGTATGAATGTATTTATTTGTCCGAGTGATCTATCCAATTTAAGTATTAGGCTAGATTAAAGACTGCATGCCCCCGTCGGAACCTAACCCAGCTGGTAGGAAAGCGACATCCTCTTGGGCATCTGGCTTAAGTGGGATACTAGCGACTCATCTGGGGGAAGGTAAACTCCCTGAGGTACCCTACGGCCAGCACATCGGGGAGTTAAAACCCTTCGTAGTGAAATTCCAATCCAATATATGTATGTATCCGAGTTTCACAGCCTTTTTTTACTATTTGTGCTTATTAAGAAGGATAACAGAGTCCCAGAAGTTCAATAAAAATTTAAGACGCCAGGACCCCTTCTGAAGGCCAAATTTTGCCAACAAAAAACCTGCCGAAAAAGCTCGTGATATGATTAAAAATGAAGAGAAAACAATAAGTATCGTAAATAGCCATGGCAGCTAGCTGGCCAGGAAACGAAATTTAGAAACACCTCTAAATAAATATAGGTCTTTAGGTAATAAAGAGATACTGCATTATTGATGTAAGACTGTAGTGTATAATAACTCATAGTAAATATAATTACATATCAGCCTAAATTAAATCTGGGCGAGCTTCTTTAAACTACTAGAATAGAAATAACGGGCATTAATGAATAATATTCAGTTGAAACATATTCGGACTATGCGGATGGTAATAATGATCCTGCCTTCTCGAGACCTTTACAACTAACAATAAATATAATTAATTCTACGTGTCGGCCTGAAATTCTTTCTCACAAACGTAACGAGCGTAGTGTAAATGCGCATTAATAAATAGAATTAGACCGAAAACGCTTTCCGTTGAAATATATTCGGACAATGCGATAGGGCAATAAAGGGATGATACGGCATGCTTTCGTTTGACCTCCACACAGGGTCGGATATTAGTGGGCGAGCGCGGATTCCGTTCGATTCAAGCTATTTGAACTCAGCTCCGTATACTTACACACTTCACTACAAATATTTTGCTTATTTGCCTGAAATAACGTTCAAACGGTTAATAATAGCGATAGGTTTCAACCGCAGTACTGTGCACTAATTTCAAGTTATGTGTTAGGAAAACGAGTATTAAGAACAACGAATGTTTACCAATACCTATTACCTCTCGTACAGCTAGTTTATCAATTATTCGTCTGGGTCAATTCTTCCTTACGAATAAGAAAGTTGGCTTCTTAGGAAATTATCGGCATAACTGTCGAACCGCAAAATTTACATTTGCCGAGCAGTACGTGACATGATTAATAATGAAGAAGGTCTCCTTGACCAGTACACCGTGTGTCATTGGCTTGAAAAATTTAACAGTTCAGGGCGTTAATGCCACTCTACACGACATGAGTGTGAGAGAAAAAGGAGGTCTCTCATAACATTATCCGCCAAAAAGGTATATATGTAAACAAAATTAAAAAATCCTTACATGAAATTATAACAGTTGCAAGGTGAAAAAATGGTTTACTGGCGAAATCATGACTCCGCTGGACATTAGACTAGATTGCGCATGAACGGCATTTCCAATTCGTTTTTGGAACTGCGAAAACTATTGATCAGCAGTTTGTTATGTGTTCCCTGAACTCCACTGCAAGATACTCTTTTCAAAATTGGTAAGGTTTCATTAAGCTCTGGTACACATTTCTCATTCAGACCGGGGAAAGATAGTACATAGGATGAACTACCTGCCAACGCTCCATCAATTTATTACTTGTTTGGATTCATGGCCCACTTTGTTCAAAATAAAGACTTTTTTGAATAAATGTGTGGTGTTTAGTGACCGTTAGCCAATAAACACAACAACTCTCAACACGACACACAAGAATGACACAATTACGCAGAAAACAAACATTTTGAGCCCTGAAGATGATCTGAATAAAGATCGAAACGTTGGCACAATAAAGAAAATGTTTTTCTAAAACCTACGTCACACCAGACCGCATTCACGATCTCCAAATAATCATTTTTTTGAATAAGTTGAAATTGCGGTGGAAGAGTTTTTTCACAAACATCCCAGTAAGGGATCGAGCAGCAGAAAAAACGTCTAATGACAACGTTTTGAATTAATTATAATAATTTATACTTCCTATTAATGCTGTGATTAGACGATGATAGAAGCAGTTTTGAGCATGATAATGTTTAAACCGTGAAGTTTTTTGCTGGGATATGTTGTTGTACATTTGTCAGCAGTTTCGTACTTGATGACAATCGGCCAGACACGTTTCGACATCTGCCGTCTCAGTGATTTTCGCAATTGATTTCGCCCGGAAATAACGAGAATATCAACGCGCCCCTCAACGTCCAAACTGTTGACAAATATTTGAAAAGTAAGCATTTCGAATGCTAAGGATTTATGCCTATGCTTGGTTTATTATTTAAAAAAAGAAGGCATTGCTTAAGCAAAAAAAAAAGGTAATTTAATTGACCTATTATGATTATATTTATTCGTTGTCAAACTCAAGGTTGTTAGTGTTGGTTGGTCTAGTTGAGTTTAATCTAATTAATACTGAACTGATAATTTCTCTGGGCATGTCTATTCTTGCTTGTTTTCTTACGTTTCACTCATACACTGACCTCTTTCTGCTTCAAGCCAACTTCGGCGAAGTCTTTTAGGAGAAACCAGCGATTATAGACGGACCCAGTAAAAAACAAGTTTAACATTATCAAACTAAACAATAGGGCAGTTCTTATAAATTTACAATCCTGCGATAAAAAAGGTCCAACTCGTACGAAATCAGGTGATGGTAAGACTACTTGAGGCCAAGATTTGCACCCAGAATAGCTTTTTTGGCAAATACAAGGATAGAAGAATTGATGAGATAGTTAAGTAAAGTTTCCAGCTTATGCACATCCATTAAAACGAAGGTGTAAAAAAATATATTTTCTTCATTTTGTCCAATTTCTTTATGTGCTTTTCATTCACCATTGGTTTCATGCAATAAGTAGATCTAATAAAATTGAACTCACTTGTTCTTCTTTGACGATAGCCGTCTGCTGGATGACTTCGCTCAAGCTGATCTCGGTCCGTGATATCTCTTTTTGGACGGTTGGCAGGTTGTTATCGACTTTGGTTTCGAGCGCTTCGACGGATTCCAGGAGTTCGAGGACGGATGCGTGTACTTTGTCGATGCTGCTGCCGTTGTTCCCTCCTCCTTCGATCAGTTCTATCCTCTGCGACATCGCGTTCAACCTTCCATCGAGGGTCCTCTGGCTGTGCGCAAGGTCTCTCGCCATAGTTTCCAGGCTGTCGACACGTTTTCTCAAAACCCTCTGGTGCCTTGTCTTCTTTTCCGTCGCATCGCTTGAACTTCTATACACGTCATTTTCGTACACCTGCGGAAACAAAACAATTTCAATTTCGGCCAAACTCGAGATTCGACATAACGAGAAATTCGATTAATTTTTTTTTTTATTCGACTTGGTAAACCTGCGAGTGACATTTTTCACACGATCACAAGATCAGAAGGTGAGTAACAATGCGTTCAGTGCGCGTTACCTCAAAAGGGGAAACGCTTGATCGATAAACCCATATGACCTCCGTTCTCCCTTCATATCCAATCTAAACATAATTGTTCCGAAAATTAACGTACCTCTCTAATAAACCGGGATTTTAAATATTAACAATGACCTTTGGATTTACTTGATACGGTCGCTAATGTTATGAAAAATTGATTACGAGTAATAATAGATACGAATGAACTCGGGTTGTATGAACAATATAAAAATAATTTAACAACTGTAACCATTATCTCAATAATTTCCAGTTAGTTAAATCAATGATTAAAGACAGTATGTATTAAGCATTTAAACACCAATTAAGTAATTCCTTACATCTTTTATAACAGCCCTTCAGTCTTACTCTTCTTTTTCACAACTTCCAGAAAATTTATTGTTAAGTAGTGGCGTTCTAAAAAGAAAACCAAGTACTTATTCTTTGAAGTAAATAAATTTTACTTACTGAACACCGTGACTACTATATGAAGGATTTTTGTGAGGTGGTGCGAGGGCAAGCGCGTATGTGGGAGAGAGATGCCATTAAATCCGAAGAAAATATTCCATAATAGAATTCCATGACTTACTTCGAGTCCGGGAGGAAAGTGTATCAAAGAGTAGAAAGAAAAGGAAAAAAGACTTATCTTGAAAGGAGGTATGCAAATTGAAGAGTCATTAGGCCTTTTTACCTCCCTTATGTTCTTCGCCCCTTTAAGCATGATCTTAGAGTAATTTTAATTTCTTATTAAAAAAATTTCAATTAGATTTTACATAGTTAAAGAAACAGACACTTTTGTAATATGAAAACAATTTTGTCAATAGGTCTGGAGGAGCAAGATTCAACGGAACTGGAATTGAAAATGCATTGTGTTGGAAGCAGGTTGGAACCTGGCTCGCGTACAAAGATGGAAAATTCTATCAAACTCAGTGAAATTTCAGAATTGCAAAGGCTAACCTATTGCTGTGGAATAGGTACGGGGTATCTGGAGTAATTAACAGTATCAAATCAACGTTTCAACTTAGACAAACGTCCCTAGAGAAATAATGTAGAATTACCTCGTTGTAGCTTCTTGCCTCCCTAGCAGCAGCTGTCGTCCCGATCTGAAACAAAAACGGAAATATTCAATTATATATTTGAATAATACAAATTCAACATCAAATTTTAATTTCAATTAATTAATCTTTAAGTCAGGTATTGGTTGAGATAAAAAAGTTAGTGTCAGGAGCGGGATTCGAACACACGACCTTAAGCTAAATACGCCACTGCTGTACCAATTGAGCTATCGTGACATCGATCCACTCGGACATCAACTTCCCATCTTAACCTCACATTTTTGAATTTTCCCTCATTTTTGCCATTTTTCAAATGTTATGTAATCTATTTGATTCTCGGCGACAAATGAAATTCTTATCTCAACCAAATTAATTGAAAACAATTTATTTGGTCAATCGGACCTCGAAACCTAATCGATTTAATAAGCAAAATGAAGTATACTTCACTAAAGCTCTCCGTGGCCATTTCATTTGTCGCCGAGAATCAAATAGATTACACGACATTTGAAAAATGGCAAAAAGGAGGGAAAATTCAAAAAGGTGAGGTTGAGATGGGAAGTTGTTGTCCGAGTGGGTCGAAGTCAGGATAGCTCAAGTGGTAGAGCAGCGGCGTATATAGCCGAACGTTATGGGTTCGAATCTCGCTCGTGACACTAGCTTTTTTTATCTCAACTAAAAACCTTAATTAATTGAAAAGAATTTATTTGGTCAAGCGGACCACGAAACCTAATCGATTAAATTTTAATTGATGTTAAAATATCCGTAGAAAGAGGCCGCGAGATGTGATCATACATCATACAGAATGAAGGACGTACATAATTCAGCAAGCAAATATCATAATGGACTATTCATGTAATAACAATATAATTACCACAGTAATGCGAGTTCTGAAGACTATTTATTACACCGATGACCTTATCAGCGGAATCATTGTCAACCGCTTCCAAGGCAGAATGTGTTGCGGCGTTTAAGATAAAAGTTATGTATAATTTCCCCGTGATTATACCGCATCATTTTTGAAAACAATTGAGGCATTTACGGTCGAAAAGTTTTTTTACCTCTCTTGTCTCACTGAAATGAGAGAAAAATCACTGAAGTGAGAAATGCTGAAAAAACAGATAAAATGATTAACATATTGAGAAACGTGTAAGTAGAACATCGGTACTAAATGCCCCGAAAACATTTACATATAAAAGCATAACCCATGGGAAAAGGTGGCTTTCTTGTATTTCTCATCCGGATATTAATGACCGTTATTAATTGTCTTTCTAAAACAGTATTTTTCTTTTTTTTAAAGCAAAGGTTTATTATTCCGCAATTAAGCAATTGTATGTTAATTTATTCAAGAACGGTGTGAGGTAAGGATTTTCTGTATCATATTTTCCACAGTAAGAGATAACATTATTCTATGTAGGCCGTACTTAACCGTCGGCTGTGAAAACGGCGAATCAGTACGAGACGCGTGACCTCCGACAACGTATCATTAAAATAATAATTAAAACCTCTATTCTTATGCTAATATTTTAACGTTCAACAACTGGAATTATTCGGTTTGTAATTTAAAGTTTTTGTTTCACCCTAATCGGCCACAGTTTCGTTGGAATTCGAACAAAAACAAAATTATCATCTAACCCGACCCGAAAGTAGCTCCCTAATTGACCTCCCCGACAGGAAAATATAACCATCCAACTCACCCAAATTCGGGAGAAATTAGAACAGGTCTAATTCAGATTTAAAAAAAAAATTAGCTTGTAAATTTTAATCGAAGATAATGCAGGGACATAATTTAAAATTGGCATATTTCAAAGCCAATCAGATATTGTAATTATTTTAACAGTTGAGCCTCTTAAGAATTGTGATGTACACATTTTGACAAAAATAAACCACGTAAGCCTGCCCAAAAATAGCTGCCTTAATTGACCTAGAAGGTGGAATATAACCATAAAAAAAGAAGAAAAAAAAACAATATTTTCGTAATGTAATACAACGAGTTAAGTAAATAACTTCAAGTAAAAGTAACGAGTAAATTAACCTTATTTATGCTTTTTTTTTCAATTAATCATTCTTTGTATGTAAGGTCTTGGTTGAAATGAAGAAGTTAGTGCCATGAGAGTGATTCCAAGCCGAAGGTCGTGGGTTCGAATCCCACTCGTGACACTAACTTTTTCATTACAAACAAGACCTTACAGACAAAGAAAAATTAATTGAATGAAGTGCTTTGGTCTATCAGATCACTAAACATAATGAACTTATTGATATTATTGAAAGATATTGGAAAAGTGTTTTTTTTGTCGAATTTCAAAAATCTTCCAGTTTAAAACGTTTGAAAAGTAAATTGAGAGTTTTATCCACTAAAGTTTCAGTAATTACTGAGAACGCGGTTCTTCTTTTAAAAGTTGAATATTTTATGTATTGGTATGTGAACATTTTAACAGTCAAAAACTAGAATTAATCGTTTTATAATTGAAAGTTATTGTTAATTTCTGAACCACGTTTTTTTAGGAATCTGGACAAAAACTATCATCAAAATTTTACTGAAAATGCTTTCCCCATGTTGAACAGTTAACGGGAAGAGTATTAATTAATTCGGATATATTTATACGGAGTTTTAAATCGAGATATTTCAAAAGCAAATAGCCAGTTTCGTTTACAATCAGTTAAACTGGAAGGAAGGCTGTTTTCCTTTTCAAAGTCGAGCAATTTAAACATTCATGGAACTTATAAGCAATTAGGTAAAAGAGATGAGATGTTTGAGAACAGATTTCTATCGTTCTCCCTCGGTGGGATGTAATTATTGGAAAGAATGTTGGTACCAGAATCTGTTTTGTGGGAAGATCAGATGGAAGGTGGGTTCAGACTTCACCACTTTTTCCCACTCTCGCATAATTCCACGCCGTTTAAGGCAAAGGGCTCATCTAACAACCTACTTTACCCGCGTTCGTCTTATTGAGGAGGACATCGTAAATACGATCGTCGGTAGTAACTGGAGTCGTCCGTTGGGATTTCTTTGTCACTTTTCCAATTTATCGGCCAATTCCACAGATCCGCCTTTCTGCGTCAATTGCTCCCGTTCGGTTGATTGAACTACGGTTATATATGTACAAAAATGGCTTTATTCTATCTCTTTTTCCTCTCGGTTTTGATGGAGTGCCTGAATAATTCTGCTTAAAATCACTTTTGATACTGAATCGAAAAATCGGCTTTTTTCACAATTACTCGACCACAATGCTATTATTTAGGTTAAGACTATACATATATTCACTAATTTCGTGGTCCGCTTGACCAATTAATACATTACAATTAATTAAGGTTTTTAGTTGAGATGAAAAAAAGTTAATGGCGCGAGCGGGATTCGAACACACGATCTTCGGCTAGATACGCCGCTGCTCTACCACTTGAGCTAATGTGACCTCGATCCACTCGGACATCAACATCCTATCTCAACCACACCTTATGAGTTTTCCCTCCTTTTTGCCATTTTTCATTTGTCGTCGAGAATCCAATCCGATTATACGGCATTTGAAAAATGGCAAAAAGGAGGGAAAACTCAAAAGGTGGGGTTGAGATAGGAAGTTGATGTCCGAGTGGATCGAGGTCACATTAGCTCAAGTGGTAGAGCAGCGGCGTATCTAGCCGAAGATCGTGGGTTCGAATCCCGCTCGTGCCATTAACTTTTTTTCATCTTAACTAAAAACCTTAATTAATTATACATATAGATCATAACTGACGAGTAGGAATCGTCAATTCATTCAAAACTCATCTGTATTATCTGTCAAGGTCATTAATATAACAAATTTTGTTTGAAATAAGAAAATACTATGTAAACTATACTAGTACCTAGTACTAACCTTGCATAACGTGTACATTAAAAACGGTAATAACAAGTTTTATTTTTGTAATGATAAGGGTAAGATTTGGATAATTAACCTAGCAGAATAACTGTAGATCAATAAATAAGAAAAAATATAAAAGGGCAAAGCCGGTATTATTTGTTGTAATCCTCCTCCCAAAAGTGGCCTGTTTGTGTATTCAAATAAAAGGGACAAAAAATTCTTTCAGTCCAAGGTTTCTATCGTTTATTAATTGTAAAAAAATATGTTTTCGAAAGACCTACATATATTATGATATTATGTATATATATGCATATGTGAATGAGGCATGAAATCTTTTCATTACTGACTTACAGCTTACAAAGGGAGGCTGGGGACGTAGGATTGTAAGTTTTAAGGAACCCTTATTTTGGTGATAATGTCGAAAAATATTAGACACGTGCCTAGGGGCTCTAGGGGCCGAGAAAAAAACCCATACTATGGTTAGGTGCTGAATATAAATTTTGACGTAGTGACCGAGTGACATAGCAGAGTTGGTTAAAGTCTTTTTTAGCAATAAATAAAGACGACTATATTTGTTTTTTGTACCCGGAAAAAACTTGAATAAATTTTTTTGTGAAAAAAAATTGGCCTTCCGATTTAAGAATACATTCACAAAAATAATAATAACTTCGAATCGGCCCCACCGATCTACATAAGACATTACAAAAGGGTTTACAACCCTATAACCTTCAAGTACGGGCACAAATCTGGTCTCTGTAAATAAATTAGAACAGGAGACATAAAATAAAATGTCTAGAGGAATTTTTGTTGAATTCTTCCCTTTTTTCACTTGTAATGATTTAAAATCTAACTCTTTTGGTACAGACTGAAAGAAGAAAAGTTAACCTTTTTAAGGGTTTTAATAGGGTTTAATTTGGATAAAATTCAGAGGAGCATTTTAATTGGAACTCATGATATCGGGAAAAAATTCCCTCGGGCGAATCAGCCCACAAATTTCTGTTTATTTATTTGTTACGGGATTCGTAACAGGCCCAGGGTGTCTGCATTTTTAAAAATACAAACTATTGTATGTTGGATTCGAATTTTGGGCCGCTGGATTCGAACCCGGGACCTTTATCTTACAGAGATGAGCGCTATATCCAACCGATGGGGCCACCTAGTATTGTACTTTGGATCTTCATTGAACTAAAAATTCGTATTTAAAGGTTGGAAAAT